GTCATGTGATATGTAGAAGAGAACACAGTCATGTGATATGTAGAAGAGAACACAGTCATGTGATATGTAGCAGAGAACACGGTCATGTGATATGTAGGAGAGAACACCGTCATGTGATATGTAGGAGAGAACACGTTCATGTGATATGTAGCAGAGAACACGGTCATGTGATATGTAGAAGAGAACACAGTCATGTGATATGTAGAAGAGAACACAGTCATGTGATATGTAGCAGAGAACACGGTCATGTGATATGTAGGAGAGAACACCGTCATGTGATATGTAGGAGAGAACACGTTCATGTGATATGTAGCAGAGAACACGGTCATGTGATATGTAGGAGAGAACACCGTCATGTGATATGTAGGAGAGAACACCGCCATGTGATATGTAGAAGAGAACACGGTCATGTGATATGTAGAAGAGAACACGGTCATGTGATATGTAGAAGAGAACACGGTCATGTGATATGTAGAAGAGAACACGGTCATGTGATATGTAGAAGAGAACACGGTCATGTGATATGTAGAAGAATGGCGTGTGTGTGTGTATAAGAGAGTGCTGTCCCTTGTCATGTAATGTTACATACAGCGGGGGTTATGTGTAGGAGGGATGTTATCCTGGTGATCAGGGACACGCGTGTGTTGGCGTGGTGAAGGGATCTCACCTATTCCTTTCCCATACTTGGCGCTGTGCGTCCATCCCGTGGCTTCTGTAAATCCAAGATGGCGGCAGAGGATGTGCGCATTCTCCATGGTGAAGTCGTCGTCGCAGATCGTACCCCATTCCTGGCTGTAGAAGACCTCGATCCGCCCTTCATTGTGCTTCCGGGGAAAGCCGGCCAACCGGAACTTCAGGCCGGAGGTGGGGGGCGTGGTCTGTTGTGTCCAGCCCGGGACTATTGCTGATAATGTACAGAGCACCCATAGAGAGGCGGAGAGGTCATACATGATCCAGGAACTGCGGACACAGACAGGACATGTCAGAGGTGAGGCCCCCCGCAGCCCGAGAACCATGACTGAGGCCGAGGAGCCTCCATCATAGACCCACCATACCAACTATGAGGAGACATCGGGGAGAAGACAACCTACCTGTGTACGAGGACAGGAAGAGGTGAGGGAAGGAGGACAGGAAGAGGTGAGGGAAGGAGGACAGGAAGAGGTGAGGGAAGGAGGACAGGAAGAGGTGAGGGAAGGAGGACAGGAAGAGGTGAGGGAAGGAGGACAGGAAGAGGTGAGGGAAGGAGGACAGGAAGAGGTGAGGGAAGGAGGACAGGAAGAGGTGAGGGAAGGAGGACAGGAAGAGGTGAGGGAAGGAGGACAGGAAGAGGTGAGGGAAGGAGGACAGGAAGAGGTGAGGGAAGGAGGACAGGAAGAGGTGAGGGAAGGAGGACAGGAAGAGGTGAGGGAAGGAGGACAGGAAGAGGTGAGGGAAGGAGGACAGGAAGAGGTGAGGGAAGGAGGACAGGAAGAGGTGAGGGAAGGAGGACAGGAAGTGGTGAGGGAAGGAGGACAGGAAGAGGTGAGGGAAGGAGGACAGGAAGAGGTGAGGGAAGGAGGACAGGAAGAGGTGAGGGAAGGAGGACAGGAAGAGGTGAGGGAAGGAGGACAGGAAGAGGTGAGGGAAGGAGGACAGGAAGTGATGAGGGAAGGAGGACAGGAAGAGGTGAGGGAAGGAGGACAGGAAGAGGTGAGGGAAGGAGGACAGGAAGTGATGAGGGAAGGAGGACAGGAAGAGGTGAGGGAAGGAGGACAAGAAGAGGTGAGGGAAGGAGGACAGGAAGTGGTGAGGGAAGGAGGACAGGAAGAGGTGAGGGAAGGACAGGAAGTGATGAGGGAAGGAGGACAGGAAGAGGTGAGGGAAGGAGGACAGGAAGAGGTGAGGGAAGGAGGACAGGAAGTGGTGAGGGAAGGAGGACAAGAAGAGGTGAGGGAAGGAGGACAGGAAGTGGTGAGGGAAGGAGGACAGGAAGAGGTGAGGGAAGGAGGACCACAGCAGAGATATGAACAGGACAGGGCGTGTCTCTGGAGGAGAATGTCTGTCTGCGTGGTTGGTGTGCAGATCACATGTATGAGCCAAGTTTCCAGACTAGCGTGTTATCAGCCCGTGTCCCCCCTCTGCTGTATGTATTGTACATGTATGTTCTGTGTGCAGCTTCATGTTGCAGCCAGTCAGACAGAAGGTAATGTGTCCTCCGGGCTGAGACCCAGCGGAAGGAATGTCAGGAATTCAGGAAGAGTCGTCACTCAGAAGACAGAGGATTCCGGGTCAGAGACAGGAGCTGCCAGGACTCCACAGGACCAACGACACGCTCCTCAATGGTGGTCAGGGCCCCCAGGGGACACGCATGGACTATAACATGGACAGAGACCACAGGGGTCAGGTACAGGGAGGACACATGGATAGGGAGCAGAGGTCAGGGAGGACACATGGATAAAGTATTGAGGGAGAAGAGGACCCCCTCCCCCCCGCACATGGATGAAACTCGGGCAGGAAAGATGGAGGACGTGTCGTCATGGTGACTGGTGTCGGGTTATATGTAAGTTTGTTATACTGGGTAACCTGTTCATCAAAAGAGCTCAGGACAAGGACATCCTCCTGCGTCTGACGGGGCCCTTCTATGGCTGTCTGGCCGGGCCCCTGCTATGACTGTCTGGCCGGGCCCCTGCTATGGCTGTCTGGCCGGGCCCCTGCTATGGCTGTCTGGCCGGGCCCCTGCTATGGCTGTCTGGCCGGG